GGGGTCTGAGCTGGGAAATAAGGCGGGGGGGGGCTCTGCTGCCTGCCTGGCGCGATCCTCCGCAGTCCCGTCTCTTCGACGGCTGCTCCCGGGAAAGTCGCTGCCTGCATCAGCGCGCTTGCCAGCCCTTCGGGAGGCTGCTGCGCCAGGCCAGAGCCACTGCAGCAGCCCCACCTCCCCCTCTCCATTTCTCGGTCGGCCCTGCTGCGCCCAGGATCCAGAGAGTCCAGGTCGAGATCGTTCCCAGAACCCGGGAGCCGGCCCACCAGCCAATCAGGCTCCACCCGCGCCCAGAGCGCCCCTAAGCGCCGGAATGCAAACGTCGGGTTATTTTTTTTAGGGAGAGGACTGCGAAAGTTCCTCTCTCCCTACAGGCAAAATACTTAAGTCTGAGAGGTCTGCCAACGATGCCCTTTCTGCCCTGGAAGCCCCCACCCGTGACCCGCGACGTGCATCCAGCGCAGTTGCCCGTCACTGAGAATTTGCTCTGCATACGTTCTGCATATACTCAGAGGCAATCCGTTCCTCTTGGGCGGTTCACGCTTTCCTGGGCTGAGCCCCATCCTACTCACCTCTCCCCGCAAAGACAGTTATGATTGCCAGTGTTTTCCTGGCTGGATCCTGAGCAGCTAGCAGCGGCAAGGCAGGCAGAAATTTAGCAGGTGCTTTCCCATCACCGATTATCTCCAACAGCACCAGTAAAACTTCTGCCTGCCCAGTAAAAAAAAAGGGGGGCCCAGTCCTAGAGACCAAGAGATCTCTGCCTCTCATCTATGTCGAGGAGAACAGGCCTCGCCCCTCCGCGCAAGCACCAGTAAAACCTCTGCCTGCCCAGTAAAAAAAAAGGGGGGGGCAGTCCTAGAGACCAGGAGATCTCTGCCTCTCATCTATGTCAAGTGAGGAGAACAGGCCTCGCCCCTCCGCGCAAAGCCTCCTTTGAAGGGCTACGGGAGTGAGGAACTTGACCTCAGTGGCAACAAGAAGGACTCCATCCGGAGAGCCCTTCACCCATCTGCAAACCCCGGCCGGAGTGGAGCTTCGGGCGGAGCTCTCTGTGCGGGCCTCAGTTTCTCCTCTATAAAATGGGAACAGTGGTGAGGATCCTCGTGCCGGAGGGGAAAGGCGAAGGCTGCCATCCCAGGCGCACTCACAAGATCCCGAGTGGAGTCTACTTTGGCGTAAACGCGCGTGGAGTGGGGATGAAAGGAGCTTTGCCTTGCAGGAGGAGGCGGCTAGCAGCTCTCCATCGGTCGTCGAGAGTCTCCCGGCTCCTCAGAGCCCCCAGAAGGAAGGTGTTGAGCTCAAAGGGCCAAGTGGGCCCATGTGCAGGCCGGGTCCATAGGGGAGCGAGGAGCTGAGCTGTGAGCAGTCCACCTTCGGCCCAGGGAACCAGCTGGCCAATCTCGACCTGCAAGAGCCCTTCTGGACCTGGCCTTGGTCTGCCCGGAGTCCTGCGACCGCCATTAAGGCCTGGGAAGGGGTGGCGTGGCTGGATCAATCCCTCTTACGCCAGCCCTACTTGGAAGCACAACCGGGGGAAACTCTGTGTCCGGTACGGTACCAAGGGACCTGGACTGCCTCGGCCTCTGCACTAGGCCTCATTGCTAACCTCACCCCCCCCCCTTTGGGAGGCTTCTGGCTCCCGTAAAACCGACGCACTTCCGATCTTGATCAGCTACGGTTCAAGTAGACCGGAGGGCCTGTGACACCTGGGGGGGGGGGAGAGAGGGAGAATGTGTCGTTCTTCGTCTGGCTCTCTGGACACTCCCCCCTCCCAATGCGGCAGACCTCCCTGCACTAAAATGATCCCGCTGCCCCTTCCTCAGCCTAAACGGGTGGGTGGGTAGATGCAGGTGCTGCACCGCAGAAAAGAAAAACCCGCTCTAGGCCGCTGCTGGCCGTAGGGGGGACGTGCGTGGACTTCCGATGGAGGCGGGAGGCATTTCTGCAGGGGCCACGGAGCAGGCAGGGGACGGCTCTCTTCCAGCCCGTTCTGCGCCTCCGGGGCTCTACTGGGATCTCCGCCCGAGCAACAGGGGGCTTCGCAGGACTGTGTGCTCCGGGGCAGGAAAGCCTGAATGGGGCCTCGGTCCTCAGCCAGCTTGCTGCGCCAGAAAGGCCCTGCGATCTCCCCCCCCCCGTCCCTCCGCCCCCCCCACTTCCAAGGAGGGGGTCCGGCCGGTCCAGCGGAGCGCTCTCTGATTCCGGGGGTCTTCCCGCTGCAGGCGGTCCTACGGGGCAAGGAAGAGACCGCCGCCTGCCCTGCGCGCTCCAGGCACGGAAAGGGCCAGAAGGGGTCAGTAAAGCGACCTGCCAGCCCCGGTGGCACACAACGGGAAGAAGAAGCTGGACTGCTGGTCTCTCGATATTTTATTGACTTGTCTGTAGGGCATTGTACACCAAATATCCCATTGGCAGTAAAGCGCATTCAAATGTGTTTATAAGCCAAACAGTCACTTTTGTTTAAACAAACACAAGTACAAAGTCAAAAATAAAACCACAAAAATAATGAACCGCATGTTCATAACATACAAAAATTGCCGCCTACTCAGTAGGTAACTACAACATTCCAACTCCTGAATATATTTATAAATTTACACTTCTGTAACAAAAATAGACTTTTGAGAAGTTCGATTTTTTTTGTTTTTTTGTTTTTTTGCTTTACATTCTGTCCTCCGGCTCCTCCCCCCACTTTTATTTTGTTTTGTTTCTGAGCCTGAGTTCCCTTCCCACACTTTCCCTTTTACCTTAAGGCTAGATGCAACGCATCCAATCACACAAATGCATGACGTCAGCAGAGCTTCACAACAAGGCACCAAGACTTGGGACTTGAAAGGAAAAAAAACCCAAACAAAAACTTTTTGCCACGTGAGAGAGTGTTTCATCCTCAAGGTGATATTTACAAAGAACATCACACTCTTGACATGCTCAAATACATAGTTAAGTGCTGATTGTTTTTCTCCCTTGCCCCCCCTCCCCCGAACAAGTTGTAAAACTCATTACAGCTTCGTCATCACTAAACGAGCAAAAATTTACCATATACAAAAAGATGGCCCTTCGTACTCCAAATAATGCGATATGAGAAATGCAAGGAGGTTTCCACGTCAAGAACCCAGAAGGAAAGCAAAGTCATGGCACATTTACAATATACATTGTCTGGGCATGGATGCCAAAGTCCCTTGCTTCCTAATGAATCGCGGCGGAGGGGGGGGGGAGAGAATCATAATGAAAGGAGATAACCGTCGCCCATGCAAATCAAGTCCTTGGACAGAAGCAGAGGAACTCCGATGGGGTGAAGTTACTGTGGTTGGTGTTTTCTTTTTCCAGGCAGTTGAAGTTAAAAGGAAAGTCCCAGGACCTCGGTGGCTGCTGGAAAGCCGGGATGGGCGCGCCTGGCCAGTGTCGCCTCTGCCCCGCTCCCCACCCCAGCCCCGAGGTCTGCTGCTGGGAGGACCAGCGGGAAGATTCCTAGTCCGCACCCCGTCCCCCACTCGGGAGAGGGTCTCCCGCGCTGGCTGGCCGGCCGGCTCTGCCCTCTTTCCCACTCAACAGATCTCGATTGTCCGCGGCGAGAAGGTGGAGGCCAGGTCGGACAGTGCCGAAGTCACTTGGGAGCTGAAAGGGCTGGCGAGGCCTCCCGGCGAGGGGAAAGGGGTGGCGGCCGCCTGGCTTTGGAAGGTGGAGGCGGCGATGGAAGCGTAGCTGGTGGCCACCGAGGAGGAGGAGGGGAAGGAGGGGAAGGGTGACGTCACGGGCGAGGAGTATGAGGTCACGGGGGGCGAATAGGTCGTCACCGGAGGCGAATAGGAGGCGGGGGGCGGCGAGGGGTAGGGGGGCTGCGAGGCGCTGTAGGCGGCCAGAGGTGAAGCGGCGACGGCGGCGCCCCCCTGCGGCG